ACACGGCTATAGTATCAATAATTCTTCACCGTTACTATAAATTTCTTGAGAAGTGATCTAGACTGATGAGGTATGTAAATACATACATCTGATTGTCTTTTGTGCGTGAAGTGTTTTGTGATCTTTAGGTACCAATCCTGTGGGAAGAAATGGTAAAGACTTCAGCTCCCACTGGACCCGTTGGTGACCTAATTTAGTCTGCCAGATGGCCTGCTTTTCATTAGCTTGCAATTTTGCATGGCATAATGCGCTGGGGTTAAAAACACGATTTGTACAATTTAAAATAAAACCAACTGTGCAGTTCTTCTCTCCGCCTTTAATCCAGGGTTATTTTACATAATATGAAGGGATGTTTCGCCTCCTCTGGTTTTTATTGCTCGTCTAGAACATTTCACGCATATATGAAGGGAAAAACTTGGTGAAATTTAAGTCCAAAAACCACTTTGTTGCCACTGGCTGTATATAAGTGGTACCTGTCATTGAACCTAAATGTGCATTTAGCAGTTATTCGTGTGAAGAAATCAAAAAGCCACCATGTGGCTCCCTGTGTAGCGTTATTCTAGACAAATGTCACTTTTGACTCAACATCCGGCGGAGAACCTAGTGGTGATTGTACTGTAAGGCACTCCAAATCGTCCTGATCATCTTATTAAGCCATTAATTTTTTTGCAAAATGAGTATGGAAAATTTAATGATGCACAGTCTTCACTAGATCTACGACGCCCACGTCTCATGTGAACTCACTAGGGATGTCTGTTTATAGTGGTCTTAATAGCTTTCGGTCAAGATAATTCCAACTTGTCAAAGAAATTTGGTGTGCCTGAAAGGTTTGCCTTTGTGGAAAATTTTACATGAACCTGCCTTCATTATTTGTGGTTCGTCAGAATCGCATTTTTCTCTCATATTTTAGAAAGACTACCAGTTTGGCCGATGTAATCAGTCCCAGAATTATCCTGCACCTGCTCTTCTGGCCCAAACTGCAAAAGTTTTGCGTAGATCTCTGTAGCTTTTTGTATGAGATAATCGGAAGTAATTGCCTCTTAACCACGTAGCATCTTGTGGTAAAAGTGGTTTAAAATAACATCTGATGATAAAAATAGTTTAACGGTGGCTTTCCTGAAATTGTAGCACCACCTTATCTGTCAATCCTTCTTTATGTCTGCGCTGGGAATGGAGGATTATGTAAAGTTGAGTTCAGGTCGAAATGGTCTTCATCTACCAATACCTTGACGACAACCGGTTGAGTATCATTCAGGAAATCTACAAACTTCAGCCTCTTTTCGCATTTTACGACAACTTAAAGCATTGTAGCTGATAGACTTTTGACAAGATAAGAAGTTGGACGACGTCTGATGAAGCCAGAATCTGTGATAAATAACTGCTTCTCAGTTCGCGCAAGATATCGTAAGAAGAAACGCACCGCAAAGAAAAGCTACTATATTCTTCCCCGACAAGGGCACTACTACAAGTAAGATTTGACAGAGGAGTTTTCGAAAACTAAAGTCCAATAAATGTCGTTTGCTTAGCAGTAGGTTCGACGAATACTGTCAATGACGAAGTATCACAAGGAAGAACTTGTGTCTTCGGCTGGGGACCGTGTCACCTAAATAGAGGAGGGTGAGGATTGAATATGTAAACCTACTGAGGAAATAGGGCACAGAGACTCCTGTTAATTTTCGTTTTGTATTATTAGCGCGGATGGGCGCGAAAGTAATTGAAATCTTCGGAAGACATTTAGAAAACTCCTATTTCTTTCATGGGTTTGTTTCATTACTCCAACGAGGTGCCGGAACAGGCAGCGCAGTTTGGAAGATGTTAAATGGGGAGCGTGCAGACGGACAGACAACAGGCAACCCAAGGTTTTTGTTTAAAGAAGGCAGGATTGGGTAGAATGGTATATGGCAGGCAAACCCAACTCTGTCCCCAAACTTAACCGCAACGCTAACCCTAATACAGTATGCTTACCTAAATGTAATAAGCAGGAATGTTTTCGTACCGAAACCTGGGACTATGTATGCTATCGTTACCCAGATGTGTGACAGATAGTGCCCCTCACCTGTGAAAAGAAATTTAATATTTACTGGTCTGCAAAGTTGAAGTTATTACTGGGAGCATTTTCGTCAAGTCAAACACCTAACGCAGGCGATCATATGAAGGTGGTCGTCTGGGAAGCTCTTCTTTTGCGCGAGATGCTAGAATTTGTGTTTTCATAGAGAAAGCGGTCGCCCAGGCATTCCCTCAAGTTCTGTCCTTTGTGGGCATATGGTGTTTCAACACCGACAGTTCGACCATCGATTTCGATGATATCCACCGTGTGCCCCACAGCTGCAGCAGCGGTGGGAGCAGGGACAGTGACTTGCGCAGGGGTTTATAGTGCGGGTAGACTTGCGCTGCATCTACCTACACTCTCTCCTCCTTCCCCGCCTGGGCCCGGTGTCAAGACAGAGTCAAGAAGACCGGAGACGAGGGAGGCCGCAGGTGGATGGCTCGGACGGATCCTCACCTTGGCGTTCCACCACACCCCCTGGTCCACACAACAATAACTAGGATTTCAACCAACACAACAGACATTTGGAGGCTGGCACGGCCGAAGCCGCACCTGGGCGTGCCGCCAACGCCTGGCTCGGATCCCACGCTGTGGTGGGAATGCCATAAAGGCCACATTAAAAAGGAGCCATTGCAGCCCGACTCTCAGACCGCCTCCAGTGAAGGAAGAGGTCCAAGGTACCCCGTCAGTTGGCAAACTTCCAAGCCACGGCTTTTAGCGCACCGTGATAGCTTCAAGCGCGTCAGATTGATTATAGTGAGGAGAAAGTGCGCTGAGTCGTCGACCTCACTGTCCCTTCCCATTCCCACACCCCAGCCACTGTCCGAGCCGGTCGGCAAACTGGAGTGGGGAATGGGCGCGGTCGCTGACATGGTCGACTGACTATGCCTGCGCGCGCCACAGCACGACCTCGCCCCCCATACACTCAAACACCAGGATTTCACACAACGGGGGTTGAGCGGCTTGTCTCTCACTTGCGTGAGAGGGCCGTGGAAGTTGCTGCTTCAGCCCATCCCCAGCCCACCAGTCCGCCACTCCACACAACACACACACACAACGTGACAAACTGCGTGAACCGAGAGCGGGCGTCAATCAGCAACCTTCCTATCCACGACACTTGGCGTGTCGGGATAGCCTCGGACTCAAGTCACCCGTGTATCCGAGGCCGCATGGGGACCGAGTCGAGATGCACACTTCCCACTTGCGTGGAAGGTGGCAGTTGGTGCATGCCGTGGGTGAGTGTTGATGCGTAGTGGTGATGGTGGAGGAGGGTATGGAGTGTGTGAATGTGTAGTGTAACCGGCGGTTGTCTACCGCAGATCGTCGTGGATGCGCATGTGAACGAATAGACCCATGCGGTGCCTGTAAGTTCGAAGACAGTGTGGGCAGTTGAGTCGAGCTTGGTGGGTGTAGGTTGGTGCTCCAGGCACTGGTTCTCCAGTCTCTGTGCGATGGATTCGCAAATGACCGACCAGGCCGATGCGTGAGGTGAATGTACGTGGACAGTGTGGGCATGTGAATTCGGCGGTGTCAGTGGCAGCCACAGAGGAGGCGTTGGTGGTGATGCAGACGGATGGTAGGAGGGTGGCGCTGAGCATGATGGGCGTGGTTGGCGTATCAGAATTGTGGTCAATTCCGCTCTCGTGGATACGCATGTGGCCGAATAGACCCATGCGATGCATGAAGGTGCGAGGGCAGTGTGGACAGTGGAGGCGCGTGCGGTTGGTGTAGGTTGGTGCGCCAGGCACTGGTTCGCCAGTCTCTGTGCGATGGATTCGCAAGTGACCGACCAGGCCGATGCGGGAAGTGAAGGTGCGACCGCAGTGAGGCAGGTGTAGTCCTGATCCTCATCACTGGAATCGGGAGAGGTGGGGGTGGTGTCAGTTGTTGTGTCTGGGTTGATGTGCGAGACGGCCGCCTGAGCGGCCGCCGCTGGGGCAGTGGGGGAGGAGGAGGAGGAGGAGGATGGAAGTGGTAGGTCAGAAGAATTGTCAGAGTTATTTGGCGGCGGAGAGGAGGAAGAGGCAGGCGGGGGGACGATGGTTGGCGCAGTTCGAGAGGCGCAGTTAATCCGAAGATGTCCAACAAGTCCGATTCGAGCCCGGAATGTCCGTTGACATCGAGGACACGTTGGAAGCGGTTGTGCGGCGGCGTTGCGTACTGGGCGAAGTTGTGATTTGCGGGCTTCGCGTTTCGCATTGGCGGCGGCTATGCGATTGGCTTCGTAGATCGCAGCGCCTGTCTTCACTGTCCTCCTCCAGGTCAGTCGATCGAGTGCGAGCTCTTCCCAGTTGGTCGGGTTGATTTGCAGGCGCTCCAGGGTATCCTTGTAACGGCGAATCTGGCCTCCTTGACGGCGAGAACCCGTCGCAACGTCTCCGTAGAACAGTCGTTTGGGTAGTCGCTCGTCGTCCATGCGCACCAGGTGGCCGCTCCAGCGCAGGTGCATTTGTCTCAGTATGGCGTATTTGCTGAGCATTCCCGTACGTTCTAGGACATCAGTGTCGGGAATGCGATCCTGCCAGTTCAGCCTCAGGATGCGACGAAGACAGCTGAGGTGGAAGTGATTCAGTCGGCGTGCCTGCCTCGTGTACACCGTCCAAGTCTCCGCTCCGTAAAGTAGCGTCGGCAGGATGACGGCCTTGTACATCTTTAGCTTCGTGCTCAGTTGAAGACCGTGGCGATTCCAAACTGTGCTTTGGAGGCGACCGAAGGCTTGACTGGCTTTCGAGATCCTGTTGGCGACTTCGTCATCAATTTTGGTGTTGCGGGAGAGGGTACTTCCCAGGTACGGGAACTTCTCCACCACTTGCAGTTAGGTTCCGTTCACGCTGATTTGCGGCGGCGCGTTGGGGGCTGTGGCTGAGTTGGGTGGCGGTTGGTGCATCACCACCGTCTTCTGCGTGTTAATGACCAGACCGAAGTTCTCGCAGGCGGCGGAGAATAGGTCCATGCTCCATTGCATCTCCTCTTCCGAGGTGGTGTCCAGGGCGCAGTCGTCGGCGAAGAGGAGTTCGTGGACGGTTGTTGTGGATACGCGCGATTGGAAGTTCATGCGCCGTTGATTCAGGAGGTGACCGTCCGTCCTGTAGGCGATGCGGATCCCGGGACGTTCGTCGCGGTAGGCGTCCATCAGAATGGCAGAGAACATAAGACTGAAGAGGGTAGGCGCCAGCACGCATCCCTGCTTCACTCCGTTGGTCACTGCGAATGCCTCTGAGACAGCTCCGTTGTCCGTGACTCGCGCCATCATACCGTCGTGCAGCTGACGCACCATCTGAGTGAATCGCTCCGGACAGCCGAATTTCTGCATGATCTTCCACAGTCCTTCACGATTCACCGTGTCGAAGGCTTTCGTCACGTCCACGAAGGTAGAGTACAGGTGGGTCCGCATCTCCTGACACTTCTCCTGAAGTTGACGGGCGGCGAAGATCATATCCGTGGTCCCACGATGACGACGGAAGCCGCATTGGCTTTCCGGCAGAAGGCCCTGTTCCAGGTGGTTATTGAGGCGGTTGAGAAGGATGCGAGCGAAGATCTTCCCGCCGATGTTCAGCAGGGAGATTCCGCGGTGATTGTCGCACACTTGGCGGTTTCCTTTGCGTTTGTATAGGTGCACGATTGTTGCGTCTTTGAAGTCTTGCGCCACTTCACCTTGACGCCACATCTCCTGGAAGAGCGCAGTCAGGTGATTCATCAGTAGGGGACCTTCATGCTTGTAGACTCCAGCAGAGATTGCGTCCGATCCGGGTGCTTTCCCGCTGGAGAGCTGCTGTACGGCCCTGAGGGTTTCCTGGAGGGATGGCGGAAGGTCGAGGTCCACGTTGGTCTCCACTTGCGGCAAACGCTCGATGACGGTGTCGGAGATGACGGAGGGGCGTTTGAGGACGCCTCGGAAATGCTCGGCCCATCACTGTAGGATTTGCGTCTTCTCAGTCAGGAGAGTGCTGCCGTCGGCGCTGAGGAGAGGAGCAGTGCCCTTCGTCGGCGGACCGTAGACAGCTTTGATCGCAGAGAAGAAGTTCTTCCATTCGTTGCGGTCCGCGTAGCTTTGGATCTCCTCAGCTTTGCGAGCAGTCCAGGCGTCCTGCATCTCGCGCAGTCGTTGCTGAAGTTGGCGGCGACTGCGGTAGAAGGCAGTTTTGGTGGCATCAGTGGGGTGATCTACGTAGGCTTTGTGTAGGCGGTTCTTCTCAGCAAGCAGATTTCTGATGGCGGCGTCATTGTCGTCGAACCAGTCCTGGTGTTGACGGGGAGCGCGACCAAGGACGGCGAGCGCCGTCGACTGGACCGTGTCTCGCAGTTGACCCCAGCGGTTCTCCACGGAGGCTTTCTCGGCAGCGGCGGCGGCGTCGTCGGCGGCAGCGATTGGTAGGTTGTCTAGCCGTTGAGCTAGCTCATTGCTAAAATGAAGGCGGTGAGCGGGCAAAGACAACAAAGCAACATTCAGCGCGCCAGTTCTCGTGCCACTAGCGCCGTCCTCCGTTCCGGTCGGTTGCTCCTCGGATTGTCTAAAAGGGAACGAACATTCCAGGCTGCCAGAGTGAGCGGACTCACCCTGTCAGTCTGGGGAAAGCGAGTGGAGCGACGGGAAGGAGGTGGAGAAGAAGATGACGAAGGAGAAGAATAGGCAGAAGAATAGACGGGGTAGAGGAAGAAGAGGTAGGTTGAGGAGAATGAGTATGGCTGTTGTTGTAGTTGTTTCGATTTTGATTGTTTCGACCGTGAGTTTTGCGTCTGCGACCACGGTGCGCCAGCAGACGACGTGGTTCCCCAGCAATTTTTAGGCCAGCTTTTCCAGGCCCGCCCCGAAGGAAGCTGTGCCCTAACCCTGAATAGGGCTGCTTGATGTGCCGGCGCGGCCGAACTCCACTGTGGACCACGAGTTTTTTGGCAGTGGAAGAACGACTCGAATTTGCCAATGGCTTACGGCATTGCCGCAAGCCTGCGGTCTCCTACGGTGCACCAGATGGGCGCGTGTCGACGGTGCCAATTCGGAGATCCATCCCACCGGCTGATCCACGGCGTACCAGGCGGAGCCTCGTCTCGACGATGCCGATGCGACGTTCCACCACCAGCCGGCTAACCAGCGGTGTGCCAGACAGAGCCTCGTCACGACGGCGCCGACGCGGTGTTCCATCCGACCAACCGTCCACGGAGTCCGCAGTCACCTGTGCACCCGGCACAACGCGCACAGGGAGTAACCGCCCTCACCTGGTTTAGCCTGCCGGTCGAGGCGGTTGCCCGGGGTGTGGCCGCTGTGCAGAGCCCAGCTACGTGGAGCCACAGGTGAGAGTTGAGTGCCAGCAAGTGGACGCTAGGCGTAGTCTCACCTGCAAGCAATTGAGCGACCACTACGACCTTCACGTGAACCCACCGCTGACACCCCTACACCCCGGTGTTTCAACAAAACAGCTGTAGTATGCACACGGCCCAGAGAAAAAGTTGATAAGAAGCAACCACATTGAGACAATGAGTTCTCCATCTCTGGGTCCGATCTAAACAGAATTAATGATCTGTTGGGAATGTTATGCGGGTGGGTGTTTTAAAACAACTGAAGGCAGCAATAGGGTGTAGGGCCCCCAACTAACCTAAGCTAGCCTGTGGATCGTGTCATACGTTGAATGGCGGTAGAGGGGGCTTTACGGGTGGGTCAACACACAGGACGGAGAGCAGGAAGACACAGAAAATAGGTAAATTTCTGTCATTTGGCAAAGAAAGTGATTGCGATAATAAGAAAACAAACAAAAGATAATTTTTAAAAAATAACGGACTTTGGATAAGGGAGGGAAATTTCAAACAATGAGAACGGTGAATAATGAGTGATGTTTACAGTCACACTGCCACCTACTTGGGGTGTTCTACACCCTATCGGTACCCAAATGAAATTATGAGTCAAGAAATCGACTAAAGGAGGGGTACAGGGATTTTTTGACTTCTTATTGCTGGGCTTATTTTGAACGATTTTCTCGTGAAACCTCGTTCGCGTTAAAAAACAGCCACGGTTTACTCTCTCATGTAAACACTGGACATATCGATGCTAAATGTAGGGCTGATTGTATTTCTGTTTACTTTGCGCAGAACTGTGCACATTTGGCGCACATAATCTTCTGACGAGACAGCACAGACCGGGTAAATCGTCCTATACCCAGCAATGTTCTCTCTTAGAATGACGTCGTTGTAATGAGTAGAATTATGGCAATAGTTAGGAATGGTGCAAATTTTTTAAACAAGGTGAGAATCGATGTTGTTATTTGGGGGGATCATAACTTTGCTTACCTTTGGACTGATATTTACTGGTCCACTTAAAATTCCATATGACATGACCACTGTTGAATCCTGATTTCGGGATTGCTGCAGACTTCCATCAGCCTTCTCCTCGTAACAAATGCCCCTCTCCGCGGGCTACAAGATCGCAGACGACGCTCTTGCTGTGAGCCTGGTCCTTTGATTTGGCTGCGTTCAGTGAGCAGAATTTTAATCAAAGCACAGCTCCTCGCGCCGTGACTTGGGTTCTGATGCAAAGCCAGTCTCAAGGCTCAGTGGTACTGCAATAAGGTTGGGAGGTCATATATCTGAAGCTGAACACAAGTGATGAGGAACACCACATTTGTGTCCTCCAGTTGTTCAGATATCTTGTTGTGAACCATTCTAATGAAACTTTAGGTAGGAATGTATTCTTTCAACGCAGGATGGCAAACAGTCCGTATTAACTACCTTCACAATGCAATTTAAGGTCGCTGTCTAGGCAAGCAAAGCATCATCCAACGGGCTGCAGTAGAATTGTGGCAGTCCCTTCCCTCGATCGCCACCGCTTTCTCATGCTGCTTTTCTGTCCGCCCCCTGCTCCCTTTCGATTTGCTCCTGGGATCGTGTGAGGCCGGGTACTAGCCTCGCGAGAGTTCGAAGCTAATCAACGCCGCTCCTTCGCTGATTGGCTACAGGCGGACACGGCTCAAAGCAGAGGCACACGAGTGCTGGGAGCTACGAAACCCAACGGCGGACACAGACATACAACACATCTGAAGAGACAGCTGGTGGCAACTACTTACTGAGCCCTCCGCACGCTCTTTCACATCAATAAAGCTAGTCTAACCACCCAACGTAATTTCCCAGACTTGTGATTTGGGTATAATTGTGTTGATGGCCATTGGGATCTCCTGCGTTCGCTCGCCATTCCGACAGGATTCACAAACAGATGCGGTGGCCGTGACGTTTTTTAGGCGCGATTCGTGTCATCCTTTGGGAAGGTGGTCGTCCCGTCAACTGTAAGCGCCTGAGCTACACTGTGGTATCAATTTATGAACCGCGAGTCCGATTTCTTGAATCTCCACTGGCAAGACAAAGGTGTGACACTGAGAGAATCCGATTATTTAAAAAAAACTGAGAACAGTCCGGTGGAGTCCTTTATGAGGTCGTGAGTTCGTTCACCTACCAGTTTACGGGGCATGCTTGTTTCTTTGTGCCTTGGGACTTAAACTACAACCTTAGCAGGCAGTCGCATAGAAATCAGTCTTATTTCAGAAAAGAGTCTCCCTGATCCTTGCTATTATTTCTGTCATTACTGTGTCCTTAAATTCGGCGTATAATGACTGTCGTGTGCAAGAATTTTGCAAGTATCCAAGGTGGCGATAGATTATGTGACCCCACCTAGTCTTTGTGTCTAGGAGATACCTACCTATGTCATTTGGGTGGGTTTTATTTAATCCCCTTCCCTTTCATGCATTTCCCGTTGCGCCTGCCGTAAGTGGCACCGTTAGGGTTAGCGTTCTGCTTGGAGTTCAGTTTAGGGGATTGCGAGTTAGGTGCTAGGGTTCAGGGTTGGAGTTAGGAGTAAAGTTCGGAATCAGGGCTGGACTTAGGAGTCAGGGTGAGACTTTCAAAATAAGTTTAGAGTTATAGGTTAGGCTATCGACGTTGTCAAATTCAGTTATATCTTCAGTTGCGACCATCACGAGAGTCGATTTAAGGTAGAATTCGTCGCACTTCTTCCCTCAATGTGATTGGTCACCACGGGCCGAGATCAGTTCGTCTGGGATATCTAACCAATGCCCTCGGTTTTACCTCTTACAGCCATTTACAGCTTCCAGTTTCCAATATATCAAACTCCTCGCTCGCGTTTTTATGTATCATTGGTGTGTTCACACTAGGCGATGGCTTAAATGTAAGTTTTTTACTTCTGCTTCTTGAAAACAGCTTCATTTCCCCTATCCATGAAATCTCTATCACCACCATTCTCGTATTACAGGAGCTCTAACTTTCCGTATTCTCAGTGGGGTTACATATCCGATCGTCGCCGTCAATTCAGGGGAGAGAGAGCAGAATTGGGCTTATTAAATGTTAATTACACGTTTGTCTTCGGTCACAAGATACTCGTTATCGTTTGTAACAGTTACGATGCTTCCTATTCTGTTACTCGGGAGAATGTCTCTGTCCCAGCCACGGCTCAAAACTTGGAATTTGAAATCAAGCAGAACCCGATGCTTTCATGCAGCTTGCTGGAAAGACAAAAGCTGTCTTCAAATATTAACTAATGACCTTTACAGTTGCTAAACCCTCATGCAGTAAGTGACAGTCCTGACTCAACACAATGGCTTCTTCCCGGTCGTATATGAGTGCAGCCCTGAGTGGCAGATGACTCATGGTTCGACACCTCGGGTCTCTGCTTGGGCCTAGTGCCGGAAGCTGCGTGGGTACTATCCTCTTTTTCACACTGACAATCACTTGAGTGACGGGTAAACGAGTTCGCTGGCTGTGTTCCTCCGGCCACCACCCACTCCTCTGACCCACCGACCGGCGTTCTATATGTCGGCATAGAAAGCTTAGGTTCGTTTGTGCAGCTCCCGTAGAAATCCGCTGATGACGTCGTCTTTTGCCCTATTACCTTTTGACTTTCCTGTAGGCTACTGTGGCTGCTCTTTCAGTTAAAAATGCCGTTCCCGTTAACATCTCCGAAGGACTGCATAACTGAAACAAAACCAGCTTTCAGGATGTCGTTTTGGGTGTAGAGCTCCAATATTGGAAACAGTTTTCTTCCTACCTTCCTTCTCCGCACAGCCTGTTCCTTTAGTTGCAAATTCATTCATGCATCTCAACTAAACTATTCCAGACTTCTACTTAGCTGTGATAGTTGAGCTTCCCCTGGTCACGCATTACGCGAGCCTTCACCCTTATACGCCTTCTAGCGCTTCCTTGTAGGCCAGTTGGTCCTGACCAGCACCGTAATGTAAAAATCGATGGGCATTTTTTGCCCTTTTAAACGTGCATGCTAATTGACGCGACAGCCTGATGAACTGCAGTCAGTTGTGTCCTTCAGGAAATCTCTAAGATTTTGTGAATAAAAGCGTAATTGCCCCCAACTTGATTCATGACAATGCGCATTCATGTCATCTTTTTCGTGCGACGATCGAATTAACAAGCGTGAGAAACATGAGACGAGCGCCTCAGCAAATCTCCCTACTCGACCTTCAAGTGCCGTACACATGCACACGAAGACCTACAAAGAATTTGGCGGTCGCTCTCGAGACCGTGCTGTGAACTCCTGTCCCCTGATCGATGATCGTTCCAACTCTGCGTCACCAACGCGACGGCAGCCTCACCCGGCGGGCATGCAGGCTCTTGGGGGCTTCCTGGGCCAGCCAATTGGGAATGAGGACCGCGTCTTAGAGTGGCCGCCGCCAGAACCAAGACCCTTCTTTATGCGACCAATGATTACTACCTTTACAGCAATGTTTGGAACTCGTACGTTCCCCCCACACAACCCAAACGTGTGGTTTTTTGGGCCTACAGCAAACGTCCAACAACTTGTGTTTGACGATGGACCGGACATTATTGAAGAGGGTGCTCCACCAGAGCTAGCTCATGCCCAGAGCTCTGGCCTTCATCGGACCTCCTCTCAACTCTCTCCCTCATCAAGTGGCGAAGGGAGTAATGCGGATGACTCGCATTCATCACCTCGTGGTTCACTAGTTATTCATAATGTGGGTGCCAGCATGTTCTTAGATGTACCCGCATCACAGACCGAGACAGGTGAAGGCCCAGCGACGATACAGCAAACGCGGAGACGGCCTGATCATATGGACGTAGAGGAAGACGGCTACATAGTCGAAACACCTGGCATCTCAACAGTACCCTCGTCCGAGAATATCCACGACGTTATACGAGTGCAGCAGAGGATCGTCGAGCCACCTCCGCGTCAGATAGTCTTTATTGTAATGGACACCAACCGGGCTGGAGCCGATTTAGAGGATTCCTATCCCTACATGATGAATGATATTCAATGGGCCATGCAGCAACTCATCAGTGGAATGAGCAGTGAATCGACGGATGGCTGAAATGCTCAGATCTGTCAATTTTCATGATTGATCAGCCTCCTTCGACCTTATAACTGCTGCCTTTTTCTCTTTTCGTAAACTTGAATGGTTTCATTTGTACGGTTTTATTTCATAACCGTTAAGTTGGATACCTGGGGAAACTCGCCGAAAACGAGAATTCGTGCCTGGATAATATGGATCACTCGGTCTTTTCGTCCTATATGGAACCTCCGTGTGGGCGCGCAAATTCTCCAATCTGCCCCATTTGGACGACTGAGACAGTTCTCCACAGATACATTTTCAAGGGCTAGCCAGTGAACCTTGATGATGTTTCCTCAGACTGTTCGGCAAAATGCGGCGAAATTGGCAAATTTGTTAAACCCGAGCGTTCTCGCTGCTTACTAGATGGCAGGATGCCTTCCAACTGTTTGTGTACCTTAGTTTTTTCGAAGAAGTTCCCTATTTTTTTTCATTTTGCCATCATTTTTTGGTGTTTAAAGGAGAGTCCTTCCTCATTTTGATCCAACTGTGAAAACCTGGGCTCCTCGGTGGGATGCGAACACACGACACCAAGGGGAGGCTTTAGTACAGCCAACGCTCTAACCATCTGGGCTACGAGGCCCCACTGGGAGACGTGAATTTAATCACATTTGGGTCAAGTTACTCGGCCAACCTACTTTCTTTATGTTGAGGAAGCACGAATATGTAGAAAATAAATTTCGACAGCGATCATAAAGCTGGTAATTTCTCTAATTTTGCTAGCACCTTAAGTATGTTTCTTTAATAGCTGTCTTTAAAAAGTACGAACTCAAGATTTGTAACTAAAAACGCCCTTTGAAAGGACCAACCGTCGAATATGCTCCTTGCAACTATACTTAAGAGCCTAATTTGTCATTTTAGACAGCAGTAAATGCGCTCTAACCTTCTAATTGATCCTAGCAGGTCAGTAATACTAATGTTAATGCGTCAATATTTTGGGACTTCAGTCTGTTAGTTAACAGGGTTGAATGTTAGACCTACTCGTATACTGAAAGGCTTTCGATTTTCTGTCGTTTTCTAGCGCAGAAAAACTCGTCATGGAAGACTTCTGTGTGTTTGCTGTGGACCCCATTACGCGGATGGATGTTCCGGTGCACTAGGGCCCTGACTTCAATCTCAGGTATCAGCGGTACAGATTTCAAATCGAAGTGCTTCACGAAAGGAAAAGAATGAATCAGATTTTTGTTTGCATAGTTGCGCACTTCTTCCGTGGTTGCATACTAATCTCATTTCCGGCATCTGTATAGTCGTCGCAATGGTTTGATTTCCCAACCGGTCATCATTCAACTAAACAAGGTCGAGTTTCGACTAGGCATAACAGTCTCATTGTGAGAACTTACTTCCTCGGCCAGGATTTGCCCACGTACTCTAAAGGACTATGTAAAAAATCCTGAGCTCCTGGTTGACCGCAGTTCGATGCATTTGGGGAGCATTCGCAGCGCCGTATATATTCTGGTTATCGTGCCTAAGCAGGTGGCGCTTTGCTAACAGTTCTCAAGGCTCCCCTTGTCCTAGTCCCGTGACAATCTGTTCCCACATCTCCCATGGTTCGCCTAACACGCCTTGTCAATTGTGTGCCCCCTCGGCTCATGACCCAACTCCCTGCGTGCCGGCGGCTTGAAGCCGATCGACATTATGCCCTTAGCCGATTGGCTACAGTGGACATGGTTCTGGCGTACGCACGCGCCTCGCTCGAGGGTAGCAACAACGGCCGGCTCACAACATGTTGGGACAACTGCTGCCACCGCCCTCTGATTTGCTTATACACTCATTGCAGAAGTAAAGACTATCCCGCTAACACCCTAACTCCGGAGTTAGGAAACTCCACATTGTTGATCATCGCATCTGGACAGTTCGTTGCATTTGACGAGCGACAGTATAGTGGCAAGCTATTAGCAGTTGGAAAGTTTTCGAGGTCTCAGAACCTCAAACGAGTCATCTAAGTGCCTCCAGCTGGCCGAAAAATCTGTTCCCCGTGAACTCGCTAACACCGGTTCAACGACTAGGCCTCTTACGGTCATTAGTGATTCGAAAAATTCAGGGACAGTGATGGAGGCTAACACTAAGCACTAGTATTGCGAAGTCGTACTGGGGAAAAACAATGAATCCGATAGCACTAGGGCTAAGTCGGTGGACCAAAGATACTTCCAAAATACTGGCTTTTAATAGTCTTTTCCTTTATCACTAAGCCAGTACTGTATTTTAGGTAGGGGTCAGGCTGCAATGGCTCCCCCTTAATGTGGCCTTTATGGCACTGTCACTCAACTGGGATTGGAGCCACCCCACATTTATTGTTGTGTGAACTGCTGGTCCTTCGTGCGTGGACCAAGGGGATGTGGTGGCACGCCTGGACGCGAGCCAACGCCGTGATAGCCACCTGCGTCCAACCCGGTTTTCTCGACTGTCTTGACACCGCGTCCAGATGGGTGAGGAGAGAATGCGGTAGATGCAGCGGAAGTTTACTATCACTATAAACGAACTCACGCACAAGTCGCCGTCCATGCTCGCACCCTGTTGTGGACCACATGGTGGATGTCGTCCAAGGGTGTTGGGGTGTCCACTTGTACGTCTACGTGACGGTCGTAGTAGGCCGCTCACCTGCTTGCAGGTGCTGACAACCTCTAACGCCCATTAACTGACACCCAACTCTGACATGTGGTTCTCCGAAGCTAGGCTCTGCCTAGCGTTCACACCCCGGTAACCGCTTCGACCGGCGGGCTAAACCAGGTGAGGATATCCGTGTGGGCGTCTCCGCACACGGTAATCTCGGCTCCACTGGCCGGATAGATCACCGCCTCGGTATCTCCGAGGGGAGACTCCGTCTGTTACACCACAGGAGACCACAAGGTAAGTGAGCCTCCAGGTAGGCGAACATTGCTCTGTAGGATTCCTATTTGTCTGCTTGTTTGTGTCCGTCCTTATTATAAGCTAAATGCCGTTATGTTGAATTAGTCTGCTCATTGTTTATATTTCAGTAACCAGTTAGCTTAGAGAGGGACGGGAAAGCTGTCCTTCTTCTGGAGCGGTAGCCCCAAGGCAGAGCAACAAGAAGCGAATTCTATGATGGCCTGTACGCCCTCCAGGCGACTATGCCGAAGGCGGATAAGTTAATAGCCCTTGGTGACTTCAACGCCCGCTTAGACACAGGCCATGCTGCCTGGAGAGAAGTTCAGGGCTCCCATGGTCTCAGCGGCTCCAACAACAATGGCCTGTGCCTCCCACGAACCTGCGCAGAACACCGCCTCAACCCGAACAACACCTGCCTCCGCCTCGCGTTGCGAGAGACGACCACATGGATGCACCCTCAGTTGTGAAACTGGTACCTGCTGGACTATGTCCTCGTCCGTAGGCAAGAGCAACGGGACGTGCTGGTGACAAAGGCGATTCCGGGTGCCGACGGATGAACCGGCCATTGCCTCGTCATCTCCAAGATATGGATTCGCCTACTACCTCGCAGGAGACCTCAATCTAAGTGACCCTTAAGAAAGCTGAATATGCTTCGTTGTATTTGCCTGCTAACCATCTCTATGCAGGCAGTGAGCTTGCACAAAGGCTAGTCAACCTTCCAGTCGTCGCCTCCGCCGCCGCCAATCGCAGCACCCGGACTACATCAGCTGCTGTCTCTGCTCTGCTGTCAACTCTGCCTCATCCCTCACGCCGACAACTAACAGTGACCGCACCCCGAAACCCCACTCCCCTCCTCCTCCTCCTCCTCCTCCTCCACTGCCTTAACATCTGTCACGGCGGCTCCTGTACTCACCACCACCACCACCACCACCACCACCACCACCACCACCACCACCACTGCATACAAGCTCGGCACCGACAAACACCAACCCTCCTACCAACAGCGCCAGCGATATGGAGCCGGCCCATTTGTGTCCTCATTGCGACCGCACCTTCACCTTACACATCGACTTGGTCGGTCACTTGCGAGTCCATCGCACAGAGACTGGCGAATCAGTGTCTGGAATACCAACCTACACGCCGCATTCACCTCGACCTTCCGCACTGTCCCCCAATATTTACCCATCGCATGGGCCTATTAGGCCATATGAGCATTCACGAAAACCTGCGGTAGCCAACCGTCGACTACACCACAACATCACATCTTCCCTCACCTGTAACATAAAACATCAACAACCACAAGCACCCTACTGACATCTCCCCCACACGTTGGAAGTATGCGTTTTGGCCCCGTCTCCATGCGGCTTCTCCGCTGCATGAGTGATTCGACTATGAGGCTATCACGGTGCGTCCAGCACCATGGCTTGGAAGGCTGCTGACCGACGCTCCAACTCAGCCTACGCAGTCTGTCCAGTTGTGCGTGTGTTTGTGTGAATGGCGGACTGGTGGAATGAGAGCCAGGTTAAAGCGGCTTCTTCCCAATGTGACCTACGGCACTCTCATGCATGTGTGATGTACGCCACCCAACCCCCCCCCCCCTTGTGTGAAGTCCTTGTGCTCGTGTTTGGGAGCCAGGTCGTGTATGTGGCGCGCGCAGACAAGGTCACCAGATATGTCAGCCACCGCGCCCATTCCCCGCACCTGTCCACTGACCAGGTCGAGCAGTGGCTTGGACCTGCGAATGGGAAAGGAGAGTGAGGTCGAGGACCCTGCGCACTTTCTTAACTATAAACAATCTGACGTGCTTGAAGCTATCACGGTGTGCTAAAACACGTGGCTTGGAAGGCTGCCAGCCGACAGGATAACTCGGACATCGCAGTCGGTCCAGTATTGTGTGCAGCGGCCGACTGGTGATCTAAGGGTCAGGCTGCAATGGTTCCTTCTTAATGTGGACTTTATGGCACTCTCACTCTATGGGATTTAATCCAGGTCTTGCGGCACGTCTAGGTGCGACTACGGCCGCGATAACCCCTTCTGTTGTTGTTGGGTAAAATCCCGGTCGTTTGCTGTGTGGACCAGGGGGTGTGGAATTGAGCGCCAAGGTGCGGGCCCGGCCGTGCCATCCACCTGTGCCCTCCCCCGCCTCCGGTTTTTTGACTCTGTCTTGACACCGGGTTCAGGTGGGAGAGGTGAAAGTGCGGTGAATGCTGTGCAATTCTACTCCCACTATAAACTGAATCACACACAAGTCACCGTGCCTGATTCACCCTGCTGTGGACCACAAGGCGGACATCGTTGGAAACGGCGATCGGAGTTGGTGGTGGTGGTTTGGGAGGTCCGTTGGTTGTGTTAACGTTGCTATGAATCACGCATATGACTGAAAAGACGCATGGACGTCCTTGGGTAATGTGGGCAGGTGAGTCGTGCGTGACCGGCTGGGGATCTAGGAACTCTGCTAGACAGACACGGTGCGACAGGCCCGAACGTGTGATTTAAAGGTGTAGTTGCAATGTGGACAGGTTGGAACTGAGTCTGTATTACCAGTGACGGTAAGAATGGCAAGGCAGGCGGATTTTTCTGCGAATTTGCTGGTAGTGGCCAAGCCCTGTGGCAGAGGTTGTAAGTTTTCTGGGCTGTTTAGACGGTGACATCGAAGGTGTCGGACGGATTCGATGCATGCTCTAGACGTCAGTTGGCGATACGGACATGATAGTAGGTATTAAGTGATTGTTGTGTTGCTCCGTGGTATTCGAGAGTTGCGTGACCCCCATTCACTTTAAACTTGTTTATACGACAGATTTCGTAGATTGGAGATCTAGCTCTCACGGCAATGCGCTATGCCTGACAATCTCAAGCGGGTCTTCTAGATTCCAGGGTTGAGTTGCAGGCGTTTGAGGGTGGTCTTTGAGGTGTCCTTGTAGTGAGGCTTTTGTCTCTCTTGACTGAAAACACCCGTATCTTGGGCAGGCGCTCGCCATTCATCCGTACGACATGGCACGTACATCACAACTGCCTCTGCCTCGGCATGCCATGGACGCCGATTCTTTTCAGGATCGCGGTGTCTGGGAGCACTGTAGGTCATTTTAATTCTAGTATTATCTGGAAATATTTGAATTGAAAACGATTAAGTTTTCTCGCCCAGTCTTCTTCCGCTTACCATGCACGCACAAGTCACCGTGCCTGATTCACCCTGCTGTGGAGTACACGGTGGGCACCGTCGGAAACGACGTGCTAACTACTGGATGTCGTCGGAAACGATGATCGATCTGTCATAGCCCCCCGCCTGCCGTTTAGATTATTCTTGTTGCCATCTGCGAATTTTCTCGTACGCATTTTCCATTTGTACTTCGTAGACTACATTTGCACACTGTCTGTGAGGAGAGCAGCATTGATAAAAAGAAACCGTATGATATGAAGAGGCGATAGCTTTGTCAGTAATACAGGGGGTATTTGCCGTACAAAGCAACAGTTGTCTAGGTGTAATCCACATCTTCCGCGCCGCAAATCCTTTTGAGATAATAGATATGTCGCATCAGCTGTCATCTGTGGCTTTAAGCAGTGAAAGCATCAGTTTGTGGAGACTCTGAAGTTCGAGAGTACTTCCTTTACGGTAAGAGGAGTTTTAGTTTCACATATACGGTTGTGGTCTACCATAAGGCGTCTTACATTACACGGTCAATTAAAATTCCCCACTTCCTTCTATCAAACTTGGTGGCTACAGTAAGACTGCGACTCATCATCAGACTGCTCTAGAAAAAATAAGCAGGTTCTTGAAAGAAATACCTCTGTGTGCTTGATAACAGTACCCTAGTCACTACAGCAGGTTGCAACTATAATCTGATCAGGTTTGGGCATGCAGCCCCAATGACGGTAGGAAAACCCTAGGCGCCTGTAATTCGGGAATGGTGGTAAAAGGGGTTTTATGGGTTTGGTCTTTGGACAGACCGAGGGAAAGGAGGAAATGTAGAGAGGCAAAGGGAGTTATATTTTTACAAGTGAAGGTAGTTTAAAAGAGTAGAAATTTGAGTACGTAATATAAAAATTAAAAGGCGTGCACAGAACGGTTTGTGGAGGCCTCTGGGGTGTACGATACTAAAAATGAACGGGAAAGAGGTCAACCAATAGGGAGTTGGAACGCATTGCCAAGGTCGCTCCGCAAAATGTTCAAAGAAAATGATGCTTGTCGAGACGAGGACATAGAAAATGGTGAAGAAATGGTCATGAGAAGCAGTAATGCAATTAATGTAACGTAAGTGTGCCTTGGGATTTCTAAGTTAAAAGAGGGATACCCAAAGTAAGTAGTAGCCCACGAAATCGTGAAGTCAATTGTTAAACGGGACAGAGAGTGCTAGTTGATTACGCAGTCCCGAGGGTTTTAGAAGTGGCTGTATGCATTTCTGATGAATAAATATTTTCAATTATTTGAGTTGCGGACTGTAAGCGAACAAACCGCGCAGAAGGGGGGCGGTCGCAGTTAGACAAACCCACGGAGTTCACCAAAGTGCAGGAGGCGGTCAGTTCGCTTCACCGTGTGCAGCATTTGCAGGAAGAGGGACTGCCCACATCGAGGGTACTATGCCAGTGCCGCAAACCAATGACACTGCAAGTATTACGACAGCATACGGATGGATGTATGTTCAGGCATGCCAGCATGCGCAAGTAGACATGGTTTTAGATGCGGTCGATACAGAACAAATATTACTAAGTTGCGAATATGGACATATTTCACTGGTTTTTTGAATGAGCGCAGTAGAAGAACTCAGCGCGGCCTGAGCTGGTCACACTCCAAGAAAGTTTGGAATAGATTCTTCTGAACGATTGGGACTGCGATAAAAGAACTGTTTTACGCTAGGCTTCCTATTTTCACAATCGACCGAGAAACCAATTAGGACTGCGGCTGTGTTTGACAGGAGCGGGCTGACATTAACGAAGGTAATGAAAACCTGCTTGACTTTTCATGAAGGAACCGGAATCATTCGGTTTGCGGCTTCCGTGGGCATAAACCGCACCACAGCAGTGGAATGGTACAGCATTCAGCTGGGTGTGTGTGTGTGCTTGAAAGCACTCCTGAACGAGGTAAAAAAATTGGGGAACCTTCCTAAGGCACGTAGCAGAATCGTATCTGTGACAGTTCGCGTCTCCTTGTTCTTCGCGTTTGTTACGCTGCCTTCCTGTTCGCCTTACACTCCTTGTCGATACGCTGCTGGGACGCGCGACGCAGGTCACTAGCCTCGCGAGTGCTGGAAGCCAATCAACGCTGTGCCCCCTCTGATTGGCTGGCGGACGCTGAGACAACGAAAGGCGCACCACGCGCAGAGTCTCAGCACCTCGAAGGCGGACGCAGACAACAACAACTTGCTTTGAGAGCGCGCTAGCGGCAACTGCTTACAGAGTTTTGTGTACGCACTTCCAGCAGTAAAGGTTGTCCAAACCCCCTCCGTCTTCCCTGACTTTTGAATTGGGAACCTCTATTTTGTTGACCTTATCACATCCGACCTATCCAGTCAATGACGGTCAACAAGCAGTGCTGCAAACGTCTCAGCAAACGAGCCTGTAAGCTGATCTATAGCGCTGATAATGAAAACGTAGGGGAATATGCAGCAGAAAAGCAGCACATGGAAACATATATCCTGCGCATTTCGCAAGCCCAACCCATGCACATCAGAAAGCGACTGTCCCCCCGTGAGATTGTCTGGTATACGTAATTTATTAGTAAAATTTTGTTAAATACGTCAAGTGCATTCTTCCTGAAGGCAACGCGCACAGAGCGTCTCGTCGAAGCACTTCAGGTCACGTGACCTGGCTGTACGCACTCACTGGAGTGGGATCGAAAAGGAGTAGAGCTGTTGACGCACCACTCGCCGGATTAGGAAGGAAAGTGACCGCACGGTCAACTGGAAGTTAAGTCGGTGTGCCTTCCGTCCTAACATTGCCACTGATGCTATTATAGTACAATTTCACCTACTGAAAAGTAATTCAGTAGATTGGCTGTGTAACATTCGTCAAGCGCGGCTGCAGGACCAAACCTTACCTATAATCTTTTTTGCCAGAAAAAGTAACCTCCAATCAGAGCTGGCGAAGTGTGTGCTGTAAACTGCTAATCTTTATGCCTTGAGTACGCTCGAGATGGACAAAACAACATCTGTGAGGGAAATAGAAATCCCAAATCGGCTGGATCCAGAAGCATTTAACAGACCCTGCCTATAATTTGCAATTGCCCAAAGTACCCAGATTAGGTTGATTGTGATGTGGACCTTCTTTTATGAGCATCTGACTCAGATACCTTCCGTCATGCATTTGCGACAAACCGGACCTTCTTGTTAGAACGGACTGGGTTCCAGGCGCGGGCTCTAGTGCGAATTCGAAAATATTGCTCGCTGGCGAGTCGCTGTAATCGACATTTTCATGTTCGTTCAAGAGCCTACTGCCCCTCGTTATATTTTATCTAGCGCCTCTTAGACACTTCAGGAGCGTCAGAATTCACGTATCCCATGAGTTAGGAGCACTACTACTGACTGGGAAGGTTCAGTCTGTCATTCAATTCATCAATGACCGAGTTGTGAAATGCTACGTTAAGACTTTCTGGCGAAATCGGTCGCAGACGGCTGTCTGACCACATAATCTTGGTCGAAAACGGCTGGTTTCTAATCTTGCCTGGCCCGGAATCTCAAAATTTACTGGAGACGCTAACTCCAAAATCCTTTCCACCGAAATGACCTTTGATGAACAAATTGGTCATGCGATAAGAAGAAGGTTCTTGAGAGACGCACGCTCTGTTGTATTGGCTTGCAGACTAACTTACTCCAGCATGGAGGCAGAACTTGCTAGTTCTGATTACAAACCCAAATGGGGTTTCAAAAATACAAAGAGGTCGAAACTGTCTGTTGGTCGCCTGCTTGTGGGACTTAAGTACATAACACGGAGAGTGAAATGGGTACAAAATGAAGCATGATTTGGAAATTTTGGTGATTGCCATAAAGTCGTCAAAGTTGGCCTACCCATTCTTCGCAGGAGGGCAGTGAGAGTAACGTCAGTATTTAACCCAAGGTTTGCGAAGGTTCGTCTGCACATCATCTTTCCTCTCCCGCACCTTTTGCAGGGAAGCGAATGTGTGCCGCAGAAGGTTATCTCGAAGTGCAGGCTTTATTTTACCCGACTGACTGGCCAGTGAGGAACGGGACTTTGGGAGCGGAGTCCTCAGGACACGCTGTGAGGACGGTGTTAGCTGGAAGATGGCCCTGTGACTCCCATGACGAGACCCACTGGAAGTCTTGACGGCATAAATCTCGTTGATGAGATCTTCCCATTCGATATTGCGCATAGACTCGCTTTCCCTATCCCAGGACTTGGATCGTCTATCCCCAAAAGAGCAAGGAACACTTCCAGAATCACCAACTGCCGCCGGACGAGAGGGCAGAAAAGGAGTACCCTTGTTGACCTTTTTCTCCTCCGCGGAGCTAGGCCGGAGTTTGATTCTGGCCGTTCCCCTGGGCGTGAAACCTTTGATGGAGGCGGTAGGGCTGGGAAGTCTGTGGAAGAACATATGCCTCGGCGGCGAACTGGCTGGGAGGTTAACAGACGACCCGGGGCGGCTACTGTCGTCACTAGACGACTCGGTCTCTGTGGAATCCCCCCAAAACACGGAGGAATGTGCGGTATTGGTGACGGATAGAGTAGAAGTAAGAGGGCCACCTGAGTTACGCTCCATTCCAATGCCAGGACGAACCATCAAGTTCCTTTGGCAACCCCCATCGCAAGACCGATGCTTATGGTAGGCATGTGATCCGTATGATTTAGTGCATTTCGTCCGTGGGAGGGCTGAACCAGAGTATTTCCGTACGTCTCCCCCATTTCGTCCTGAAAAGGCCGATATGTATGAATTACATCGTTTATGGGGGAGATGCTCGAAGTCGCATTCGACGTTATTCACGGTACTGTTGCCGGCTTTGGGCTTAGCAATGCCGTGGCTCAACGATCTGGTGCCTCGTTTCAAGGGAAACTCGCCCACACCCCCACGGGAGACATCCTGTTGGCCTCGGGGTCCCTCCCTCCTTTCCCAGTACGGCGACTCAGTGGCTTGGGACTTTAACTGATGTCGAAGGCTGCTTCTTTTGGCGATGAGCTCCCTCAACTCTGCAATACGTTGCCGAGAATTATCAACAGCCCTCGTCTTTGGGATCGGCGACAGGCAAATCTCACTAAACTCCTTCGGAGAGCTGATCTGTAAACTGGTTTCTAGCAATTCCACTGACTCCGGTTCTTCTTCCCTTAGAGTGGATGACCCTCTTTCACTGGAACAGGCGGATCTGACAGCCGGAGAGGTGGTGGTACCGGCATCAGCACCTCTCGGTGAGACTGCGAGCTGCTGTAGTTCTTTTAGTGAACTATTTATCTCCCTCCAGAGCTTATAGACGAGTGCATAGTCTATATATTCTTGTTCCGATAATTTGCTAAGATCTGAGGTCGGATGGAGGTTTGGCATTGAGAGGGAGCGTTGAGGGTTTTCGTCAGAACATGGTCTTTTCGAGCACCTATGCGACCTTCCTCCGTGTGTCAACCTGCAGCTCGTGACACTCTGGGAACGAGAAAGTCCCCCTGTGCTGCAGTTTGCTTCATGCAATCTGGCAAGGTAACGATGGTAACGACACAATCTCCGCGAACATCCCGCGGGCACCTCCGATTGACAGAAACGCGCTTCCCTGAGAGTTCCTAGTTCATTTATCTTCTTCCAAGCGCTGGTGGAATAGGATGTGGGGACGGTGTAGGTTTGCACCGACTTAGTGTTAAGCATGGGATCTTCGAAACTTTTGAGCACAACTGCTATGGGTAGTTGGTGGACCAGCACACTCACACAAATAGACGGGTTGCTCTCCACTCCTCGCCGGTGACGTTCCCTGCGATAAGTTTCAGCGTATATTCGCCAGTAAGATGGAACAGTAAGGACTTCGACTTGTTGATCTGCCAGTGGCTCCTCTTCAAACTGTACAATCTTTCGGGAGTCAGAAAGAAAACTGGGAGAGCGGGCAGGGTTTTCATTGGAAGAGGCTAACTTGAGCGTGCCGCTATTACCCTCAGCAGCATAGCTTGTTTGTGTGCGGGATTTTTCACAGGAGGCCTCTCTTGTGGGTTCCTCTGAGGTCAAGTTGACTGATTCTTCCATTCTGAAACTGCTCTCTACCTCCTTCATGACCCGAAGAACATCTAGAGTATCCTCATCGCTCGACCTTTCCCCCAGATCATGCTCCCAACTCCATAGGATACTCGAATCGAAGAAGGTGGAGTCATCACCGAAGTTATCGTAAATCCTGCGTGCTACGGATCCGGCTACCTGGTATTTATCATCTCGATCACTTTCCTCTTCTCCTTCCTTATTCCCGAACTTCTCATATTCCAAACAAACTCTTTTATGCACTCTACTGGGACTACCACAGCCTCCTTGCCTTGCACTCTTTTGAGTACGATTCCCCTTCATAAGGCCATCTTGGAATTCCACGTCTTTTAATTGTGTTAGGCAGTCTAGGCGGTCCTTTTGCAGCAAGGGTGAAGTAATCTCACTGAATGTGTCTCCACTATGTGGAGTTGCAATCGAGGTCAGAAATCTCGTTCTCTCATCCTTCTTTGACTCAGACCCCCTCCCATCTGTCTCGGTAGATGTGGCCATTTGGTTTTCACTGTTGCAACCGTCTTGTTGCAAGTGACTAAGCTGTAGACGCCTGGGAGACGGAAGCAATCTCGTTTGCTCAGTCGGTGGCGGTGGTGGTGATGACATCACAGGGCGGGAGGGGCGGTCAATGAGAACCGGCGAACACAAACACTGGAGATCAGTCTTAACAACCTCCCCACGTGCCAGCTTCCTACTGGACTCTAAACGACTACGACTGCATGCGACGGGAAGTGGAACGTACTTTGTCTCCCCTGTAGTCTGGAAGGTGACACGTGGATGGACTCTGGAGGTTTCTTGGTCCTCGGTTACACCCGATGCACCTATGACCACCGGAGTGACGCTTAGTTGAATGGACGAACTGTAGAACGACGGAGCTTCCGCGTTCGGCTCGGCTCCAGGTATTTGGGTTCTTTGCCTCATCAGCGCGGTTGGCGCCCTTGGGGTAGACGGATGTAGGCTGAACCGAGCTCTTCGGGTTACGCCAGATTTCGTCCGCTCAACTGAGGCCGATGGAGAAACAATCAACGAGGGTCTATCGATTGTTCCATGTGGAGGGTTGGAAGAATTTGATGAGCTCTGATTATTTGCTGTTTGGAGCTTACTTACTTCCCTCTTCTTCCGCGACGGCCTCCTTTCCTTGTGAACGTATTTATAAGCGAGGTTTTGCCTATCCGCCACACTCTTGGCCACGATGGGATTCGGTTGCGCTCGTGATCTCCTGTCTCCTGTCTTTGTACTACCAAAGTCTTGGACATCTGGCTTCTCAGTGGAAGATCCCCTCTCTCCGGTTGACGACGACGAAGCTGCCGCTGGTTTAGTTGCGTCGACAAAAACGCGTGTACGTCCGTGATGGTAGCTGTTACTGGTCGTGTGAAGGTAGGAAGCTACTGGTGTACGGATGGATCGCCAGGAGTAAAGTGCTTGCTCTGGAACCACCTCAGTCCGGGATCCGTTAGACGTCCTCTTGAAAGTGTCCCTGAAAAAGGAAACCAGTTTGTGACCTATCGAGGGAGACTTGTTGATAGGATGAACCTGATTAGATGACACGACATAAGTAGGGCAATTTGGTTCTGATTGAATGTGACAACTGCTATCCCTGCAGGGTTCCCTTTCATCGCACAGTATAGTTTGAAATAAGCCCTCGAAACTTCTTGGACGGTTCTCTCGCTCTAAAGCCATGTTGAAAGCCTCATTCGTCAACTATAGACGATGAAAAAGGCGTACAAATAGAGGGATATTGTGCCTAATTGGACAAAGCGCGGATTCGCGCTCCGTCGTCGAGTTAGAAATAGCGGAATCAGACTTGGCGGCATCGTGACGGATCGATAACTGTGCATGACATGAACACGTGCATTCAAAAGCATGAAACTAGGACACCTAGTGCTCGGACAGATGGGAGATATTAATAAATACTGCATGAAGTATACGCATGAACAAGTAATTGAGAATCAGCCAAGTTAGAAATGCAGTCTCGTCCCCGAAAAAGGTGATTTCTTAATGCGCACTCCGACAATCTCCAGCCTACAGCCTGTTAAACGATCAAGTACGACCCGCGTGCTGGCACACGTGCATGCAGCCTCTGAAAGTCATGACTTTCCAGTTGGACTGATTAATTGCAGAGCCTGACAGCTACCGTTAATTAAAGATACTCTGCTAAGACACGGAAACAGGAACCCCCAGGCCTTGCACTAAATTCCAGGAAGGACAAATATTCCTGGGTCCTAACCATAGCCCCCGACATAAAGCTAACTCTAACTCTTAACTTAACCCTGAGCTAAATCCCCCTGGACCTTAGCGCAAGGCTCCCGAATAGGGAAGGGGGGGAGTTCTATGTCCCTGCCTTGCCGGTATAAACAGCACTGAGAATTCACCCTATTGAGGTTGACACCAATGTGTCGAGGAGTGAAATGACTTGTAGAATAAGTAAAGAACTTGATGACTTCCTGTCAGCTTCTTGTAAGGATGTTGATGTTGGATTACGTAGAAAGGTAGGATCGACAGATTTAGTCAGAAAGTGCACCCCGAGATGCCTGTTTCAATAGCCTAATGTACTCTATAAGAACCTATGCGTCCTACATCAGGGGACAAATGGGCACACCGCGTTCGGGATAAATAAGTGAGTCTACTGCAGGGCCTGTCCAAATCCAGAGGCCGATAGTCTATTTGCTTCACGGCACAAATATTCTTCCAAAGTCATTATGCTATACGTTGGAGGAAGAGACGTACGGTAGATGACGCGGATGTGGAAGGCAGTTAAATAAATGCCTGGGTAGTCAGCTGTTCAGCCAAATACGAAATATTTTGAAGAATGCGAGGCAACCCTGCGAAATCATAGGAGTCTATTAGAATGTTTACATTGAAGGCAGTTCGTATCCTCTTTGAAAACGAAATACAAGCCCCTATCCGTACTGTGAGAGGGGTCATCACAAAGTTGAGCTCGGTTCGCCTGAGTGCCACTAAACTTGACTACTTCGGAGACTGCAATATTCGTGCATAATGATACGGATTTTAGGGAAACACCTGATAGTTAACCATAAAAGCAGCGCCCTGGCAGTTGATACCATAATTAGGAAATGTAACGATTCAAATTGGACCGCCACCGCCTCAGCCGAGCGGGAGGCTCGCAAACCAGAAGTGCCTCGTCTCCTCAATGCCAACCACCCGCCGCTTCCAACATGTCTGCGCTGTCCGCACGAGTTGGTCTCGTTGGACACCTTAGGACCCAATGCGCCCTCAACCCGACAACGTCTACCTATTCTCCCACTCTCACCCTTGCCGCAACCTCGCACCGACCGCCACCCCCTTCACTGCCGATCACACTTTCGCTGCCCCGCCGCCACCATCCGCCCTGCCTCAACTCCTGCATCGACCTCAGTGGCCATTACCGTCACCACCACGACTTCAAGCACTCCCCCCACCGAAAGGACGATGTATGATGTCCCATCACCTTCTACCATCACCACCAACACTCCCACTTCCAGCAATGTGGACTCGGTTCATACCTGTGCTCATTACGATCGCACATGCACTTCACACATCGGCCTGGTCGGTCACCTGCGAATCCAGCACACGGAGACTGGCAAGCCTATGCCTGGAGAACCAATATACACTTACCGCAGCCGCCCCAACTGCCCTCACTGCCCGGGTACATTCACTCGCCGCACTGGCTTATTAGGTCACATGCGCATTCACGAAAACCTGCGGTAGACAACCACCGGCTACATCACACATCTCACACCAAAAACCGTACCACACAACAACATCACCACTGCAAGCACTCGACTGTCACATCCTACGCAAGTGAGACGTGTGCTTCTCGGGTCTGCCCTCATGCGGCTCCTCTGCTGAATGCGTGGTCCGAGTCTGAGACTATCACGGCGCGCCAAACGTCGTAGCTTTGAGGGTTGCCGACTGACGCCTCAACGCAATCCACACAGTCTGCCCAGTTCTGTGCGTTTGTGTGGAGTGGCGGACCGGTGGGCTGAAAGTCAAACTGCGACGGCTGCTTCTTAAAGTGACATCTCACACTATTATGCACGAGAGTAGTGTGTTATTTAACGGGTGGTGTCTTTCAGTCACTGACTGACTGATTACCCAACCCAGGCAGATGCAAAGCTGTGTGTCACCCTTCTGGGCCTAAAAGTCCGTAAGTGTCTGCTATGACATGATCAGCAAACCATGGCCCTCACAGCCTGGTGTGCGCTGGCAGTTCTCCAGTACCTGGTTCTCTGGCAGTAAATGCGCTTGCGCTCGCGCTGGTTATAGAGGTCGTTTGCATGGCTGCCCAGTCATCCGCGTCTTTTCTGTTGTACTTGTTGGTAAAAATCCTGGTCAAGTATTTGAGGTGGACCAGGGCTGCGGAGTTGAATGCCAAGGTGCGGGGTCCGATCGTCCCATCCTTCTGCGCCCTCCCCTCTCCGGTCTTTCCGACTCTGTCTTGACACCGGGCCCAGGCGAGAAGGGAAGAGTGTGGTAGATTTCGTGCATGTCCACTCTCACTGTGAAATAATTCACGCGCAAGTCGCTGTGCCTGTTTCAGCTAGCTGTGGAGCACGCGGCGGACGTAGTCGGATGCGACGGTCGAACTAGCAGTAAATGGAGGTGAGCCATGCACTATACGTACTTACTCCTAGATAACCGGCGACACGCGCACGACAAGCAAACGTCCACGATCACAAGCGCATGATCAGATCTCCTGAGCGCTAATTGGCCACCCTCCGGCCTACGATATTCCCCTTTGCCATTTATCCCGCTGCAGCTCCCGCGGCACGACTGTCGGGCTGTCTTCTGTGCCCATTAGAGGTTAGGCCTGCAAATAGTCTTCTTTGCATACATAACATTTCGACCGTCGAATACTCCATTCATCGTCTTCCACATTGGTCCACAACAAACACTTGACTATGATTTTTAGCAACAGCTCGGATCCCACTGGGTGCGACATGAGCCAGTAATTGGCCCTGCTTCCACGCCCCGAATGTTGGCGTTTGTTATGAGGGCGCATTCCCAATAAAGCCTACGAGACTCCGGCCTAGTCCCCGTGTTGGTCCAGCGCATCTAACGCGTAGCCAGTTTGAGGAGCAAGCTTTACATACACAACTTTTCGACGCAACTTAACGAACATGGTTCCATCACTACCAATGCCGTTGCCTTCCTGACCAAAACCTTCGTATGATTCTTTATTGCTGTAAGGAAACTGTTGGCAAACCATAAAGAACTGGTTAATGTCATTTCCTCAGTCACTACCGCGGTCAACCTGTGAAATTTGAGTCTAAGCTAGATTTTCAGCCCCGGATCTTCGAAGCAAGTCCAGTGCCCTATGCGATCTCACCAGAAGTTAATGAAGAACCGGATCGCCTGTAGAAGGCGGACATAATTTTGCTAATACAATATTCAGTATGAGATGATGCAATAGTTCTCGCTTCTAAATCCGATTGCTCCGTGCTCATATGCAACAACCGCAAGTTAACTGTAAACTTAAAAACTAAGCCGAACCCTTATTTCCCCGCATCGCGGACCTGAGTGCACCCCCTTTTGATCAACCCTGTGCAAATTCGAACCTGTAACACGCTTACAACATTGTCCCAGATCCAGGCTTCCAGGATGCAATCGCCGTCAATATCTACCGGGGATTGTTCAGGTACTAGAGACTCACTTTTGGTGTGAGTACTGCTTTCGGCTTATTCCACTGTTTGATTAATGGCCTAGTCAATGGAGTACCTAACCTTTGTGCATATCTTGATGATACATCAGTAACCGGCTCATTTGAAAATAGTAAGCTGGAGACCCCAAGTATAGTGTTAAAGTATTAGGAAAAGGTGGCTTCAAACTCAGGAAAGGTAAATGCGTGTTCATCGCTGAATCAGAGTTTTAAGGTTGATAAACGGGCCACCATCCGCTCAAAGCCCTGAAGACGACGCTGGGCTCCGGCAAGGACGGTCGGTTGTATTTGTTCCTTGAGTTGGTTACCCACTTAAGTTGTTTGACTGGTCAGCCAGCTAGCAATTTGAAGTCCCTTTACCAACTACTTGAAAGAAATCGTCAATGGAAGGTCGAACAAAAAGCATTGGGTCAGACAAAAACGACTCTAAGTCCCTCATGTCTTTTCGCTCACTACGACCGCGAAACATCCATCGAGCTTAAATACGAGGCGTCCCCGTACTTTTTGTTCAGTTACCGACTCAGCCGGCTCATGGCCTGTTGAGGTGATGTTCGAACGGCAGTTGTGCGCACGACTTGATCTGCTTAACCCTCAAAAGCATGGCAGAGTTACCGACAAATAAACGAATATGAAGGCGCAATATGGTGTGCATACGTGTTTCCAACTTTAGCGACCAACAAAAATGTCTATACGCGACTCGCACCCTGGTGTCCGGCGGTAGTTCGAAGGAGAGAGGGGAAAAACAGTAGAATTAGCGTTAGGCGATAAAAGAATTATGCGCCGATAGCTGGACTATGTGCGCAGCCGCACGGGCGCAGAGAGTGGATACGAGAGGACCAAACTGGCAACAACCCCTGATGTTGCTTCCGACCTCCACAAAGAACACGCCGCCGGACGAGGCAGTTGTCTCTTATCCCTCTACTACGTCGACAAGCACAAACTCAGATGTGGGAAAAAACTGACTCCGGAAAATGGCGAATAGCACCAAAAATACGGCTCTGGGGTGGTTGACCCAAATCCGCCAACAATTCAGACATTTTCATGTCGGAACCCGTCCGAATATTTGTTACGTACCAATGCTTATTTCTGCTTCCCGATACTGTCCACTTCAGGGTGAAGGAATACACTATGTGCTGCCCGTACTGAGTCCTAGATATCCCGCGACATGTGAGTAACAAGAAAACGTGCAAGACCACAAAAGCGTGATCAGAAATCCTTGGTGTTGATTGGCTATTCCTTAATTACGACCCCGGTCTGAAAGAGAAATTGTCAATGCAATACAGAAGCTACACAACAGGGCGCCCGGTGAGGGCGGGATTCCCGCTGAAATCTAAGTCTTGTCTCGACACTCTGACGCCTTAGGTTTATGAGCTGATTGGACAAGTGTGTGGAGACGTGGTCGGTCCTGATGACCGGGGGCCGGGTACCCTTGTGACTGTCTCCAACAGGGGAGATAAGACCAAGTGCGAGAACGACTACTGCATAAACCACATCGACGTAGCTGCGAAGGTCTTCGCTTTTGTTCCCCTCAGGCGGTTCCATATCACTCTGGATGTGAGAGTGGATGTGCGGACCAGATATTCGTAGAGGCGGATTCCGAATTCCGCCATGGTTACCAACAATCGACGGCCGTCTGCTGTGTTGACTTCGCCGCTGTGTACGATTCTGTGAGTCCCTATAGCAAATGATGAAGCTAGATCGTGTTTCGGCCAAAAAAACATCGCCACGATCGAGGTCTATTGTAGCTTCACCACTGAGCGAGTTCTGGTCCATAAAAAACTTTCCGACCGTTCGATATCCAAGCTCGTGTTCGACAAGAATATATCCTGTCGCACGCTCTGTTCGACTAAGCCGTTCACCGGATTCTTGGGAGGGCTCTACACGATCTTGACGGTGTTGAGATTTCCCCCGAACGCCAAGTAGCTGATCTAGATTACGCTGGCGATATCGCCTGGCTAGCCTCAAGCTTTGGCGCCACGGCTGAATGAAGTCGCTACTTCGGTTGGCTTATCCATAAACGCTGGGAAGACCAAATTGTTTTCGAGCTACATCCCTGGCCAGCGGGAAACTTTAGGGGTTGCTGACTGTCAACTCGAAGAAGTTGGTAGTTTGAAATACCTCGGGGCGAGGTCGCTACCGAATGGACAGAGGAAGGGTGACATTGTCTCCCTAGTCGATACTGCTCGAGGGGTTTTCGCAATCCTTAAGAAGTGCTTATGGACCCGATGTGATATCTCCATCGCCAGGAAGATCCGCGTCTGATCGATCCTCCCCATACGGTTGTGAATGCTAGGCTTTGCGTGTGGAAGATGAGCAAAAACTGGAGGTATTTAGTCACCGCGACCTTAAGATCATCCTACGGATGAGATACAGCGACCTCGTCTCAAATGAGACAACTTCCACTCGCTGAGACATCACGAGGATGCTTCGGGACATCCAAGAAAGACGACTGAGATGGTTTGGGCGCGTTAACCGTTCTCCACCTTAAGAGTCCTTTGTTTTTATCCTCGATTCGGCGTCGTTGCCCACCTGGAGGCGTCAATAGGGCCAACTCAAGACCCAGCTCGACAAAACATGGAAGTGGTTCTTTGACCTTCGGTGTTTGGTCTCCGTCGCCAGATATGAGAATGGGTCGAGCCATCAAGATCTGCTGCCGCAGATCACCACGCGTGGGGAGGTGCAGTAGGTAAGTACTATTTAATCCGCCGTGTCTCCTACTACCTGCTACTTGTGCTACCTTCTATGCTTTCTATTTGGCACACATAACACATTGTGCCAGAAAGGGCTCTGGAATTCACTGTCAAGCTTCATAACATCGGGTTAAGCTGACGATAGACGAAGGCCACGGTCTAAGTGTCGGAAAATACGGCCAAGTAAGTTCCGATATATAAACACAAAACTTGGCCTCTACGCTTTGCTCAGTTAGAGCAGGTCGTGCTGTTTGACGGCCAATTCCTCCAGAAAATGCTACAGCCTTCTCACGAACAACCTTGCGAACATTGAACCCAGTCGTTGATCGGAGATACCCGATTATGATGCAACAAAGGGCAGCCGTCCTACATAGTTCGGTTTTGTACTCTGCAGACCCGGAGCGGAGTTCATACATGACACCACCTCGCCGAAATCCTGTCACTCCCCTGGTAACCAAATACAAAAGCGGACAGACACGGCTAAGTTAAACCTGAAATGGAAAATTAGCATAGTTAACGACCACAGGAGCCGATGGCGCAGGAAATCGGCCGCTGTGGTTCGTGATGTCGGCAACTCGGACGCCGCTTAAACAAAAACTGATGCTGACCGATACAGTTAATAGTAGTCCGCCGGCGTAAACGAAATCATTCCGGCCAGCTGTTTAGTGGATTGGATGCTTGATGGAAGGCCTGGTGATCAATGTCCGGAAAGTAAGTGAGGACAGGTTGAGATGTTGTTGTTGTTGATGTTCTTACTGGCTGACAGATCATTTTTACTGGGAAGGTTTGAGCCTGGGTAGATGCAAACAGGTGGGGCAGGTTCGGAATTAGGGCTATACATGATGAGGTAATATGAGTAACACATGTGATTAGCGTGCGTGAACTCAGGTTTGAGTGTTACGTCTAAAACTTCATTCATCGTCTTCCACATTGGAGCCAAAAACGTCGAAGGGCAGGCAGAGCGGCACAAGACGGCGTTTCGTCGGTGAATGTCAGGTAGCTTAAAAGGTTGGCGTGTTGCCACGGAAGTGTTCTTGGAGGCAGTACTGATCAGACTAATCGGGACAGATAGAATGTGCTGGCCATCATAGAAACTGTTTCTCATCATAGTTGTGAAGGTATCCGCCGCACCAAAAAAAGTAGTGATGAGACACGTCCCCATTTACGGACGGCAGGCAAATATCCATTCGAAGGCCTATGCCATTTGCGTAATGTGTGCTGCGTCTCCGGTCTAAGTCATTGGTCCAGTTGGAGTCGCAGGCCTTTGTGATGCGTATCAAATGAGAGTAAACCGTAAGGATAAGGCAAGCAGCAGGGCGAACCGATGATTAGTGTTTTACGTATGTCCCTTTGGGGACGCCCCACCGATTCGTACAACCCGTGTTCAAAATCAGCCTTTAAAGGCGCTTTTGATTCACGTAAGACGTGGTTCGTAGACGGTGGACACTGGCAAGTGCATCATGGACTTCGAAATTAAACAAGTTACACCACCTGGTAACGAAATAACACAATCCCCTGCCTCAGATCGCGTTTCAAAAGCAGGAGTCAACAAGTCGGGCAGGCATTCGCTGGGGAAGCGAGCCAATGGTCTTGGCCACAAGGTAAATTAGGCGTCAGGCAAGTCTGTTAGAGACGTAGTCTACCCTGATGTACAGTCATTTGGCCACCAATAGTGTGAAGACCAATGGAATAAGGTAGCCAGCGCGGACGGAATACAGATCGTGATACGTAGTCTGTCAAAGACGCATGGGTTGTCTCTGTGCACAATAGCCACAGTAAAGCCAGTCCAAAAGTTTACCTGTATGACTGCTGGAAAACAGAACCGAAAAAATCACCAAGAGCGGGCGACCGGTGCGCAAGACCGTCGGGAGATGCATGCCATTACAATCAGGGTAAATGTCAGTTTCTGACGTGCTTAACTATTATTGTGGTCTAATCGACTGTCTTATACATACAGTGCGTAAGTTGTGAGATGAATTCTCGTCGGCCATCAGAGGCCAGAACTAAGATTGGGCAGTATGGCAAGTAACATAATGAACCTAATCGATGAGATTTACTGAATCGCAGGGAAAGACGTTCAAGCGTTTGGTGGAGAGCGTGAAAACGGGCTTGTGACAACGTCGTGTCCTGTCATCAACCGGAAAATTGACAAATAGTCGCCACGGACGGACAGATGATATACAGGACTCTGAGGAAATGGGTTGATTTAGTGCGATCCAGGTGTCAGTTTTTGAGACATTACACTATTATAACTCGCTGAGACAGCATATGTGATAAATTTTACCGATTTGATAGGCATGATTGTCAAAACTCCCGCTTAAGCAGGCAGATAAAGAACGATTTACCTAATTGTGATAAATGAGAAGTGCATGAACACTATGTCGCCGACGGCTGCACAAAAAGGGCACCCAACAAAGGTTTCGTGCAGAAATATGTGGGTCTTTTAATTTATTGAAGGTGATTGTTTACAAAAGTCGGGGCAAAAATATGAAAGTCCGAATAGACATTGTTAGATGGGATAGGTTTAAGGAAAAAGGGGGGGAGTACGACGAGGTGGTTAAGACACTTCAATTATCCACCTACATCCAGCAATGAGGTCAGTAAGAGGGAATTTTTGATTTCTGGCTAGCTGAACAAGATGTCGACAAGGGAGATTCCACTGAAGGAAGAAAGAGCAATCGCACATCTTTCTTTCGAGATCAGACTTATGTCCGTAGTCGACGTCACCACCTATTTCTTCAATGAGCATCTTACCTACAGCAGGTGATAGGTGTCGAAGCATGTCGTTCACCTCACTCGACTGGTCACGCCAAACACGAGTGCAAATAACGGTACTCAGATCATCCCGAGCTCTAGACTGCGACTTCTGATGCGAGTGCTCCAGCAAATTGTTAGCGAGACCGTCAGCGGTGTCCAGAGAATCCAAGATCTGCCGGTAAGAGCTGACCATCGCTCTTATTCTGTTGTTGGTTTTCGAGCCAAAAGTTAACCGCCTGCTCAGTTGGAAGTTAGCCCAAGAAGGGGTGCAAGAATCCCAGTGAGTTAGGAAATAATCGTAGAATTCCGGCGAATACACCTGAAGAACCTCCTTCGAGTGTTGGTAGTCCTGCTCCGTTGCAGCATTCATGAGGTGAGTAAAAAGACCCGATATGTAAGACCTCAGTCGTTTGGGCACAACCAACAACTTTGCCTTGACTGACTGCATTAAATACCACTGGCAAAAGATCGGGGTGACGTGACTTAGCTCCTCCGTGATGACAGTCGCAAGATCGCCGGGTTTGTCGACTGTGATTGTGACGGTTTGCGAAATAGCATCAGCGGGCATGAGTTTTTTAAAGCCACGGACAGCAAGCCGCAGCGATTCAAGACTTTCGTCGTTAATAAATGCAAAGTAAATTGGCTGACTCAAAAGGTATTTGTCAACGCCAACAACTATTAGCAGTAGATATCCACAGGCAGTGAAATTGGGCGCATATCCCATTGAAAGGACTTCGGGATGGCCCGAATAGAACTGTTGTAGGGAGGGACTCGTGAATGACACAAATTGGTAATGTCCCGTTGCGTTCAAGATATACCTGGCGAATCCATTCTCTCGTAACTTTTCGATAAAACCACCCCGAATGTGCTTGAAACCATCGACTTCTTTGGGCGTCATCAAGTAACGGATGTCTTCCAAAGATAGGTCTATTTCAAATCTTTCTGAAAGGATCTAAATGACCAGAAACACTCACGATTCATGCAATCAACCAGGAGCAGAGGGTCGGCTCTGATTTCAAGCATCTCTTTAGCAAACGTTTCCTGCTCTTGGCTCAGTTTTGACAAATATGGATCAATTCGTTCTTTTATTAGATGATTATGTTCCATGTTTAACTTCACTATCCTCAACTTATTATCTCGAAGACGAAGTAAAATGGAAGCTGGACAGTCAATATGCCTTGTCCTAAAAAATCTGACCATGAAAGGGTCGAACCTTCGTTCTCTTCCATTAACCTGTCCGCCAGGGATGTAAGTTTTATATGAACACCGGTATAACACCTGAGAGTACACAAGCGTCAGGCTCCCTGCATCAGAGACCGGCAATCTGGTGGACGAATGGATTACAAAATTAGCCCCAAAGGCCTTCTAAAATGATTTGAGACGTAACAGAGTACCCGTTCAAATTGTCCAAGTCTCAGTCTGAAAGATTCGACAGATTTGAAAGAGTCCGTGCTAAAGCAGTGACGGAATTCCCGAGTGTGGTTCGTAGTTTTTGTGGGAGGACCTGTGACAGATGTCAATTCCGTACTGACAACCACTTTTTAACGTCCTATAGTCGTCTCCATCACTTTCTTCATTATGCTTTTTGACGTCAAACGGCTGAGGCGAGACACAAAAGTTGTGACGGGGACGGCTCATTGTGGGTCAAGGCCCAACAAAAAGGAGGCTGTAGTTAGGGAAAGTGAGGTTGGGAGGACAGTTTACTGCAAATATACGAAATAAGGAATATAGACCACGTATACCAGTTTGAGCTCAAGCGCATAAATCCAATAAGCTGGTCTTTATATGGATCTCAGAAACTCAACCAGAGCACCAACCCCCATCAAGCGGAAGCCTATTAGACAAAAATCCACAGAATCAACCGGCATACCAAACGGATCGTATATCGTCCGAGCTGGAGATTGTGCTCTGCATCCAAGATTAACGAACCCATCTAGGACGATGGCTAGGAATGCTAAGCGCAGAGAACAAAGTTTGCGAAAAAAATGTTATTCTTAGGACGCGAATATCCTTAACGATGGGGAAATCACAATACAGTTTTTTGTTTAAGTATTGTTTAAGTATTGTTTCTATGGAAGACAACCGGAACGAACTACCAAATTCTCTCTTCCTTTCTCTGTTCAGGTAAGCCCTTAGTTGAAAGTGAAGGAACAAATTCGTGGCTAGGCGG